ACGATATTTTTGGACTTTTTTTTGTTTGCTAAGTTTTGGAGCTCATGGTGTGTATTTTGCACTCACAGTATATTTCATTCTGACCCACACACGTTTCCTAGGTGCGGTTAGGCACATGTGCGTAGTGGGTTATTTTACTGGACAGCGCATCTTTATATTGAGTCATGAAACTTCATGCATATTGTTACTTGGCCCTCAAAAGAGTAGATATCATCATTGCCATATTGTACACACACACACACACACACACACACACATTCAGCTCAGTGATTTGCTAAAGTCCCAGAGCTAGAGTGGGGTGGAAGGTTTGGGCGTGGCCAGGGAGGGCTCTTGGTAATGGGGACCTGGCCAGTGGAAGGCACTTAATACCAGGAGTGATCCCCAAAGAGGTGGCAGTAAGAGGGGTGTTTCCCAAAAGGGGGTGGGGTGGGGGAGTCAAGACAAGAAAGGCACTTTTAAGCCATGCCTCCTGGGTTTTCCAGCCCCCTCAGCCCAGGAACTAGGGCAGGCCAGGCCTGGTGCTTTAAGTACAGGTTGGCCCTTTCCCGCAGTAGTGGAGACTCACGAAGCACTGGCGTGGCGATGCTGAGTAGGAAGGTGTAAGCGCCGCCGGCGAGCCAGAGAACCAGGAGGCTGACGGCCAGCACCGCGGCCATGCAGGCAGCAGGGTGGTTGCGACGGCAGCGGCGTATGGCTGCACGGGACTCGGCTGCCCACGTCAGTATGCCGAGGGCTGCCACCATTGTCAGAGCGCCAAGGAGCGTGTGTTGCGGGCTCATGTATCTGTGGGGACAAGGGAACTAGTTGCCCAGACCACCATCCACCCGATCCTGAGCCCCAAGACCCTTGGGTCCCCCGTCTCTGGGCCCTCCGATGCAGCAATCCTGCTAGTCTTGTCTCCTACAGGTCCATCCTCCAGGGCTTCCGCTGCCTTAGACCCCCTGCGGGCCCTCGTTTCCTCCGTGTCATTCCTACCCTGCGGTCCTCCCATCCCCGCTAGACCCCTTGGGCTCCCAACACTCACTTTCCTTCTGACTACCTGCCCATGTCCCCCATTTCTCACCCAGTCCCAGAGCAGCTTCCTCTGGACCCAGGGTCCCCACACTTTGCCCTCTGGTCAGGCCCAGGGTCCTCACAGGACCCCTGCCGGACGCCCCCTCCAGTCTCGCATTTCCCTATGGATTCCGTCCCCCCCCCCCCCCCCCAGCACTGCTAGAATCCTCTCCTGGCTTTGGGTCCCCGCCCAAGTCCCTCCTCCAGATCCTCCAGCCTTATCTGGTCTTCCCTCTGGGCCCAAGTTCCCCCACAGGCACTGGCTCGAGGTGCATTCCAGTCACAGCTAGGCTCCCCCTCCAGGTCCGGATACCACACAGGTCCACCTCCCACAAACCTTCAACTTCACCGCGTCCCTGGGCCTGCCCTGACTCCTCCAGGGCTGCCTTTATCTGGCGCCGTTACTCATATCAGCCCCGCCGTCCCCTACAGACTCTCAAACCCCCTTTCGGACCCTCCTTGTTTTCAGGTCCGCCTCCCAGCCCACTTACCCCCTTCAGTTCCTCACTTTTTCCATCTCCCCCGGGTCTTCCCGCCAGACCCTCCGTTCTCCACAGGCCTCCCCCGGCCACGATCCATCCCCACCAGGCCCTCTCATAACCAGGTTCCACCTCCTTCAAAAGCCCTCAGACCCTCCATCTCTACTAATGTCGCTCTTCCCGGCCCGGTGGCCCCCTCCCCCTGCCCCTCCCCCACCAGGTTCCCCCTCCCCATCCTCAAAGGCGTCTCCGACCAACCGGCGCCTCACTCCCTCCCCTCACCCGGCCACTGCGAGCGTGAAGCCGAAGCACAGAAGATAGTTGGTTTGATAGTAGAGCAGGTTATTGATGACACGGTGACACCACCGTTGTGGGTCGCATGGATCAGGAACCGCCAGACGCGCCGGCCCCAGAACAAAGTCGTCCAGGGCGCGTAACGGTGGCAGCCGTACCTCCGACATCCTGTCGGTTGCTGGACCAGCCTGAAAGGCCGCCGGACTACAACATCCGTTAGCCCCTGCGCACCGCGAGGCACACTGGGAAATGAAGTCTGGACTGGGCGGGCTTAATGACCTAGGTGAGCTGCGCATGCGCCGTTACCCACGTGACGGGAAACGTAAACAACGGCGTATAGTGAGGCAGCAAGGGTTGCTGGGAAATCAAACCTCAGCCACGAGGCGGGACGCTCCCAGCTCTTCAAATTCCTAGCAGTTCCCGGGTGAGGCGCCACGCAGGACAGTTCTGGGCGGCGGCTCAAAGTTTCCAGACAGGCAAAGACAAGACAGCAGGGACTGTCAGAAGGACCAGGGCGGGATTTTACTTCCTTCCTGTCATAGTCCAAGAGGGTCACGCCTCTCCTGGAAACTCCATGCCCCACCCTTGAGCACAAGCCATAAATGCCATTAAAGAACCTTTTACTCATATTAATTGCATCAGAGATCATCTCTTTCTGGGAAGCTTTTACAAATCCCCAGGTTGGATTAGGCTGTGCCCTCTAGGTTTCCCGCAATTCTCCAGGCGGTTCTGGTGCCTCCCCGAGTTCCTGGCCTGGCCCTTTGAGCACAGAGTCATCAAGAAATACTTGGGGAAGTGAGCTGTTTTATTTAGACACAGCTATGCTGAGGGGGGCAGTGGGCACAGGCCCCATTAATGCTTACTAGCTGGTGGCTTCCACAGCAAACCCCGTCCCCAAGGCTCAGCTCCCACAACCTGCCACGGCAGGTCCCTAACACAGCCCCTAAGGTCCTTAAAAGTCATCATCATCACAAATGTCAAGGTACACGTCGAAAGCCTCTCGGTTGCAGTTTCCATCGGGAGTGAAGACGTATTTGTGGAAGGTCCCATCTACACAGATGGCTGGGGAGGGGGAGAGGTGATACAAGGTTAGAGACTGCACAGACACACAGTCCAGCCCCCTCAGGTGTCCCATAGCCTAGGGTCTACATCCAGATCTTTGCCAAAGTACCCCCTACCCCTTACTGATGGAGCTCAGTCACACGCTCTGTCCCCCTCAGGCTTCCCATGGCCCTAGAATTCTTTGAGGTCCAACCTGCAGGCCTTTTGCCCATGCAGTACCCCCAAACGAGCGGCGGTTCCCACTCACCAATCACAGAGTTGACATTCTTGGAAGTATTCCGACCGAAAGCGCAGATGCAGGCTGACTCAGCAGGCACAGTGAAGCTCGCCAGGCTCCACTGAGAGTCCACGTACTGCCCAATCATGGGCCCCACCTTGCCCACGCGAGCCAGCCTGCAGGCAGTACTGGCTAAGCCCAGGTGTGGTATACAGGCAGGGGGATGGGGGCATGGCGGGTGGGGGGGCAGGTGGGTACTCACGCGGAGCGGCGGTTGAGGCGGGTATCCTTGAGAGCAAAGATATGGACTGTGCCCTTATCGCTGGAAGCGCAGAGGAAGGAGGAGTCATGGCTGAAGTTAATGCTGGAAGACAGACCCGCAGTGATGTCCATGTGTCACATGAGTGGGGTCACCAGCTCACCGTGTGTTCCCTGTGCTCACCAGTAAAGAGTGGCAGGGTCAGTGCCTCGGCGCAGCTCCACCAGTTTCTCCTTGGACTGCGTGTCAAAAAGGCGAATAAGGGTGCCCTTCTGGGAGGCCGAGGCCACTACGGTACCTGGCTGGTTCAGGGACATGCAGGCCACGTCACTCTGATGGGCATTGATGGTGAATGGAGCGGAGGAGGTGCCAGGCTTGGTGCTTGCCAGGTCCTGGGGTAGGAGGGAGCAGTTGGGACTTGGAGGGGCATGGAGGAGAGGGGCTGAGAGTCAACAGGTGGAGCCAGCCTGCCCACCTACCCCGCCGGTCCCCTCAGCTGCTGCACAGCTCACCACAAGTTGTAGACTCCCACACTTGTGTCCTGGGAACACGAGTAGTTGTTTCTCCAGGCTGGGGCAGAGGTCACAGAGCCCTGGTGGGGGGAGGGGGGATCAAAGGGAGGCAGGGGCTTGGCAGGGCTTCAGAATGGACAGAGCTAGGTTTTGGGCCAGACTTCAACCCTCAGGGACTTTAGGTCAGCTGCCATTTCTCCACCAGCAAGGCAAATTATCGCCCCCATGCCACTGTGGATTCCAGGAAGCTGCTGTGACGGCCCCTTGGAGGCCCAGGGCTCTCTGACACACCCACCCATGTCCTCATCAGGTGCTTCTGCTCTGCCATCTGGGGCACCCAGGGGTGGGGCGGGGTCTTGGATGGGGAGAGGGAACTGGCTGAGGACAGAGAGACGGGTAGATTGAGTGTGGCATCTCTGCAGTGACTCTTCCTGCCTCTTTGTTTCTAGCACGTGTGTCTCTTCCTCTCACTCATTTTTGCCCCATGCACTGTCTCCTGCCCTTACACCCACACATCTGGGCCCTCTCACCCTTGGGGTTGTCCCGGGTGTCAAACTCAAACAGCTTTCGAGGATTGTCGGGGAAGGAATACACGTAGATGCGGTTCCTCAGCACGATCACAATCCTGGGGACATCACACAACACAGTGTGGCCACGAGCTGTGAGGGGGAGGGTGTTGGGAGGCCAGGGAAGGACCTCCTACCCTCCGCCCCACTCTGCCTCAGGCTCACTTGTCATGGCGCATGCGTACAGCCAGCACAGGCTTAGTGAAGGTGAACTCCAGCACCAGCTTGTCCTTGGAGTCCTTGCCCTCCCGGGCATCATCCCAGATCAGCACTGCTGGGCAGGTAGGTGGGTGGGTTTGGGAAGCCAAGGTTTATGGTGAGGGGAGGTCCTTGGTGACACAGGGCACACCTCTACTCCCCCACAGAACCTTAACTCCCTTGTTTAACCTTTCACCGAAAACACCCAAGATGAGCCTCCCACAGCATAAACACTTGTTGATGCCTCAGAGAACCAGGTCTAGAAGCAGAATACTCACTGCCAGCTACGGAAATGGAGCTTTGAAAGGGTTGAGTGTCTGGCAAAGTAGGGACCCATATCGAGGTCTGTAATCTCCCCTCAGCAACTATTCCTGCCTCCAGGGTCCCAGTCCATAGTCCCAGGAGATTTCCATGAGGACTTCTAGGGCTCAGTGGCTCTCCTACAGTATCTCTTGCCATGTCCCAAGATTTTAAAACCTATTGGTTTGGTGACCTTGGATAAGTCACTTAACCCCACTGGGCCTCAGTTTCCTCTTTGGTAAAAATAGAGATGAATGATACTTCCTGCAACAGAGTTGCTGTGAGGAGTCCATGAGTTCAGACAAGCAAGCCAAGTGCTGGCAACAGGACCAGACTCACAGGAAGTAAACACTACCTAAGGAAGGACATGGCATACAGGAGACAGGTTTTTTTTTTTTTTTTCCTTTTTAATAAAAACAAAACATCCAGCGTCTCAAGCTACAAGATCCATGGCTTCCACGCTCTGACATCTCCATGCCTCGGGGCACCTGTGGGAGGCCGGGAATCCGGGGAATCTGGGGCATGGGAGTGATGCGGGCACTTACCTGAGATCTCTGAGAACTTGGGGCTGCTCCCACCGCCTACCAGGGCCAGCAGGTTAGAGCGGTGTAGCATCTCCACCAGGCCCATGCTGCCCACCTGCTCGTGGTCTGGACAGGGACCAGGGTGTCAGTGGAGGTGGCAGCCAACACCCAGCCCTTCTGCCCTTTGCTCCTCCCTTGTCAAAGGCTCACCAAGATGCCCCTTTTCCATCAATGGCTCCACATTGTAGATCCGCACACCTGTCTCCATGGCACAGCAAAAGCAGCCTGGGGGTGGTAGGAATCCATACTGCCTCAGAGAAGGCCCAGGTGGGAAGCTGGGGGCCCATGACCTACCTGGGACCCTTCGCTCCCTCCCTTCTCCCCTCCCACAAGGATACAGGTGGAAGCCTCTCTCACTTTGGTCTTGGTTGAAACGCAAGCTGGTCACTCCTCGAAGTGGCTGCTGACTCATGGTCCAGGATTGCTCCTCTGGTCACAAATGGCATACAGTCGAGAAGAGTCCTGGGGTCTCCCCTCCAAGTCCTCCAACTCCTGTCCCCAACAGATTTTCTTCCTCCACTCTGCCTACTCTTGGCCCCAGCAGAACTCCCGAGTTGACAACAATGAGGACAGTCCTCAGATCTCTGCTCTAAGCTCCCAACAGCATGGACAGGAACTCTGTCTTCTCACACTGACCTGGAAAACCTCCCCTTCTCCTTACTTGCTGGCTCTCACTGACTCATCAGGAGGTAATGGGGTCGAGGGTGCCCCAGTAATCATCCCTCCCCACCTGCAGTCAATCTTGGCCCCAATGCGTGACATGGCCCGGAGTCACTCCCCAGCTTCACAGCTGAACCTAGCACTAAATTTCACCTGTCAACAGAGGAGAATGGTGCTAGGACAAGTCACCTCTTCTTGCATCTCCCTGAGATGACTGGTCCAACACCTCCTCCCGTGGTTCTAACTCTACCCGAACACCTTTCTCCCTCACAGGCTTCCCCAAACCCTTCTCACACCTTGCTAACTTCTTGCATGGATGCCTCCTCATCCCTTTATGCCCTGAAGACATTACCTCACCATTCCCCTAGCACTCTAAATCCCCCGCCGCTGGGGCATCCTGTTTCTTCACTCTGACTTCCACCCCATCTCCCTAAGATTCCCCTCCTAGACCCCCATCCTCTCCCCAAGACCCTGCCGCAGGGTCCCGGCTGGTCTACTTCCGATCCAGCTCTCTGCTATGGCCTGCCAAAGCAGTAGGAGACAGCCCAAGTCCTTGGACCCCTGCACCTGCGTGGGAGACCAGGAAGAAGCTCCTGGCTTCTGGCTTTGGATGATGCAGCTCCGGCTGTTGTGGCCAATTAGGGAGTGAGCCAGTAGATGGAAGACCTCTCTCTCTCTCTCTCTGCCTCTCCTCTCTCTGTGTAATTCTAACTTTCAAATAAATAAATAAATCTTTTTTTTTTTTTTAAAAAGACCCTTGCCAAAGGCACAGCGCCCAAAACACCTGCCTAGGAAAACACCAACCTGAGACTGCTGAACAGGACCCAGTCCCTAAGATTCCTGCCCTGGAGCTCCATCCTCCCTTTCAAACCCCATCTCTCTAAGACCTCTGTCCAAGTGCACCCCCTCTCCACCCTCCAAAAGCCCAAACCACCTGGGTCTCCCCCTGTAACATCCTCCACCGGACAGCCTCACTCTCCCAAGCCCCATTGTTTCCACGCCCCCGCCCCCTCCCATTCCCAAAGCCTGCACTATCTCTGGACTCCTGCCAGGGATGCCTCACCCCTCTGAAGACCACCCTTATACTCCTTTCAATACCCCTGGTCTGAAACCCACCATCTACAAAGACCCCTATTCCCAAGGATCCCTTCCCTCCCCTAGACGCCATCCTACCCCGGGATCGTGGTCCTTCTGTCCTGATCTCCCGCGTCTCTGACTCCCAAGCCCCGTTCTCGGCGCCGCCCGCGGCCCGGCTTCCCTGACCTCCCGGGCCTTGGCGCCCGGCTCCCGTGTTTACATCAGGCCCTACTTCCGGGGGAGGGAGGCTGTGACCGGAAATGATGTACCTTGGCCAGAAAAGGAGCCCGCGGCTCTCTCGCCCGTTTCGCCGGTTTGGGGAGCATCGCGAGCAACTGTCTCCTAAGGAAGGCGCGGGAAGTGCAGGGAGGGCGGCTGGGGGTTCAGAGGCGGGGGAGGTTTCTCCAGGGCTAGACAGAGATACCCGAGGAGGGATGATATGGGGGAGGGAGGAAGGGAAGGAGAAAGAGAGAAACCCTCTCGCTAAGTGGGAAAGGGCGGAGCATCCAACTCGGTACCCACGGAGAGCTAGATGTGTTAACTTTCTGGACTAACTAGGCTTGGACCTCCGAGGTGCACTAGAGTAGCTGCCCCCTGATTGACGTACAGAGTTCCAGACTTATAGCGGAGGTAGGGGTGGAACCTGCAGACCCGGAAGGCTGAGTGAGACTTGCTCTCTTTGTCTAGGGAAAGACAGGGATGGATTTTGCGCTCCCCACCCCATCCTTCGCTGTCGTCTTTACAAAAGAAAAAAAAAAAAGAAATAGCTCTTTGCTGGTAAAAAGTCTGAATGCTTACTGTGGAAACAAAAGTTGCCAAATTATGGCAACTGGAAGTGTTTAATTCAACATTTGAATTTTTTGAGGTAAGTGCAGATTACATGCAGCTGTAAGGAAAACACAGGGAAATCCTGCAGTTGTATTACAATCGGGTATTAACACGGATACACCCACCCATCCTTTACTTTTTTCCCCAGTGTTGTTGATGCTTTCTTAATGCATACTTTGACATCTGTTTAATTCATTCTTTGTAACTGGCTTATGGTATCAGTGTAGCACTGTTGCGCTGTTGCCCTATTGATTTCAGGTCCTGTGTTGTCAACACTTCTGAACACATTTCCTTGTGAAGCTTGGTCCTGGAACCCTCCTGGGCATGACCCCATTGCTCTGCTTCACTCTCCTTCCCCATACTCAGCTTCTATTTAGCTTAATTCAGTTTGGCTTCTGCCCCTCCCACATCTCTGAGACTGCTCTTAACCAAATCACTGACGATTAATGATCTTGCAAAACAGCAGGAACTTCTCTACCCTCTGCTCTGATCCAGTTTCTTGCTCTCACTTGCTTGGTTTTCTGTCCCTTCTCTGGTTATCCATCCATTTGCATCCAGTTTCCAAATATCATGGTATCTTGAGTATTGCTGTAGTTTGAAAATGTCTCCTAAATCCATGTGGTGGGAATTTAGCCCTCAAATTCATGTTGATGCTACATGTTGAGGAATCTCCCTTCAGGACAGGATTAGTCCCTTCAGAGATGAATTGGTTATTTTGGGAATGGCTGTGTCGGGAACACTCCATCTCTTGTTTGGTCTCCGCATGTGATGCCTGTCCCTCCTGGGATGCTGAGCACATGTCAGTGCCATGCTGTTGGATTTCCCAGCTTCCAGAACTGTGAGCCAAATTTCTATTCTTACAAATGACCTGGTCTCGGGCCAGCGCCGCGGCTCACTAGGCTAATCCTCCGCCTTGCGGTGCCGGCACACCAGGTTCTAGTCCCGGTTGGGGCACCAGATTCTGTCCCGGTTGCCCCTCTTCCAGGCCAGCTCTCTGCTGTGGCCAGGGAGTGCAGTGGAGGATGGCCCAAGTGCTTGGGCCCTGCACCCCATGGGAGACCAGGATAAGTACCTGGCTCCTGCCATCGGATCAGCGCGGTGCGCCGGCTGCAGCGCGCTGGCCGCGGTGGCCATTGGAGGGTGAACCAACGGCAAAAGAAGACCTTTCTCTCTGTCTCTCTCTCTCTCACTGTCCACTCTGCCTGTCAAAAAAACAAACAAACAAAAACAAAACAAAACAAACCCAAACAAACAAACAAACAAAACAAATGACCTGGTCTCAGGTATTTTGTGATAGCAACAGAAAACAGACTAAGACAGCTATGACTCTGCCCCCTTTACTTTCAGAGCCAATAGTCTCTTCCTAGGTGACTTCATCTTCTCTGGTAGTCTTAATTGTTGCAAAGGTAGGCCCCCTAGTGTAGACCTCCCTCCTGAACAGCACATTCATATACAGTGATGACTTTTTGGACACATTCATGTCGATGTTTTAAAGCTTATCCATCCAAGCAGATCTCTTATTTCCTTCAAGCACCTTCCTCCTGTCCTCTTCATCTTACCCACTGGCACCAGAACACCCAGTTTGTCACTCAAGCTTGAGAGAAGTTACGGGATGGTGCTGTGGTGTAACGGGTTAAGCCTGCAGTGCCGGCATCCCATATGGGCGGCAGTTCGAGACCCGGCTGCTCCACTTCCTATCCAGCTCTCTGCTGTGGCCTGAGAAACCAGTGGAAGATGGCCCAAGTCCTTGGGCCCAGTACCCATGTGGGAGACCCGGAAAAAGCTTCTGGATCCTAGCTCCTGGCTTTGGATTGGCCCAGCTCCGGCTATTGCAGTCAGTTGGGGAGTAAACCAGTGGATAGAAGACCTCTCTCTCCCTCTCTGCCTCTCCTTCTCTCTCTGTGTAACTCTGACTTTCAAATAAATAAATAAATCTTAAAAAAAAAAAGAGTAGTTACATCATGCTAATTCCCCTCCATTGTCAAATCCTCTTGCTCCCACTGTGAAAAACCATGCACTTATAGTCAAGGTGGAGTAACAGAGACCAAAATGGCCCTGTCATGAAACACTCGTCTCCCCCAAATACCCAAATAAAGCAGACAAAATACACAAAGCAATGGTTGTTAAGACACTGGACATCTGGTACAGAAGGAAAATGACTCTTGAAAGATAAAAAGCAAGGTGAGCCCTACAATTGTCCCGTGTACTGTCTAGAGGGTTTCCTTACTGTGCTACAGAAGAGGAAACAGGCAGAGCCTGGGGTATTTCCTCAGCTGAGATATTCCAGCAAGACTGGGGCAGCTAGAGTTCAAAGGACGGAGTAGCAGGAGAGCAGCGCGTGGAGAGCCACAGACGTCTGTGGAGGGTTCCCCTTCAGCATTCCGCAGAGTACTTGTCAATACACGCATGGAAGACTCATCCAAGTGGATCAGAGGGAACACAGCCTGGCACGCACACGACGTCGACGCTGGTACCTACCCTCACCAGCCAGACCGGAAAAACTCCTGACTTACAGGATCTAACATACACAGAAGGTCTTGCCTCAGTCACGGGTCATACTTAGCTCTACATTTTACTGCTTCAGACCACTTAAACCATTGAAAGTCTCCAAAATATCTATAGAGGGAAAAATTCCCAACACCTAGAAATGTAAAATTTATGATGTCTGCTATCCAGTGATTACTAGACATTAGAAGGAGATACATGCCACAGTATTAATGAACCTTGGAAGTATTATGCTAAGTGAAAGAAGCTAATAGCAAAGGACTATATACAGTACGATTACATTTATAGCAAATACCCAAAATAGACAAATTCTAAGACAAGGAGTAAATTTATAACATAGTAACAGCTAAGGGTTCTAGGGTTTCCTTGGAGGGAAGAAAATGTTCTAAAAATTTTTTGTGGCAATGGGTATACAACACTGAATATATTAAAATACAGTTTATTGTTCACTTTCAAGGCTAAATTGTGTGATTTGTGGCTTATATCAAAATAAAACTTTTTTAAAGCAGGAAAACATGACAATAAATCAATGGAGGGGCCGGCGCTGTGGTGTAGCAGGTTAAGCCACCGTCTGCAGTGCTGGCATCCCATATGGTCGATGGTTCAAGTCCTAGCTGCTCCACTTCCAATCCAGTGCACTTAGGAAAGCAGTGGAAGATGGTCCAAGTCCCTTGGCCTCTGCACCCACCTGGGAAACCTGGAAGAAACTCCTAGCTCCTGGCTTCAGTCTGACCGAACTCCAGCTGTTGTGGCCATTTGGGGAGTGAACCAGCAGATGGAAGATTCTCTCTCTCTCTCTCTCTCTCTCTCTCTCTCATCTCTCCATCTCTCTCTGTAACTGCCTTTCAAATAAAAAAATCTTAAAAAAAGTTAAACAGACATGGGAGATATAAAAAGAATTTAATTTCCAAAGATGAAAAACAGTGTCAGATGAAAACCATACTTCTTTTTTTTTTAAGACTTATTTATTTGAAAGTCAGAGTTACACAGAGAGAGGAGAGGCAGAGAGAGAGAGAGAGAGAGAGAGAGAGAGAGGTCTTCCATCCAATTGCTCACTCCCTAGACAGCCGCAACGGCTGGAGCTGCGCTATCTGAAGCAGGAGCTTCTTCCAGGTCTCCCACGCGGGTGCAGGGGCCCAAGGACTTGAGCCATCTTCTACTGCTTTGGCAGGCCAAAGCAGAGAGCTGGATCGGAAGTGGAGTAGCCGGGACTAGAGCCAGCGCCCATATGGGATGCTGGCACTTTAGGCCAGGGCATTAACCCTCTGCGCCACAGCACTGGCACCCACACTTCTTCTGACACCTCAGAAGAAACAAATCAGTGGCCTGAGGATAATGAATACTCTAACCAAATGAAACAGTGAAAAAGAATCCCGGAAAAAAAGCATCAAGGAGCTGTTGAACAATTTCATTTGACCTAACACAACATACAGGTAAATCGAGTCCCTCCAAGGAAAGGCTGTGGGTACCTACAGAAAAAGTATGTGAAGGAATACTGTTACAACATCCCATGCTAGTTTAAAAAAAAAGAAACCCACTCATCTAAGAACTGTAGCACAAGAAACAGGAAGGATCCAACACAGATACATTGTAATCCAATTGCTAAGATTCAGTGATACAAACATTTGAAGTTCCTGAGTCTGAACAGCAGGATACTTGGGGCCGAAACCACTTTTAATTGTATTTGCAACTAAAGCACAGAACTGGAATTAACCTATGAGTAAGGAAGGTTTTACTAAACATATTAATGGGGCAAGCAAAATAGAGAGGAAGTATGGAAAAGACAGAATTTTAGAACTCTTTGATAAAAGCAGCCTTAATATGTAAAAATGGATGGAAAGTATGGCTTAACTGAATAGACATTCTAAACAAAATTGATGTTAATAATCCACAAATACTTGTGAAAGAT